AGACCATACTTCTGTAGTTATAAAATACACAAAGACCATATATTTATCAGTCCAGACCAGATTTAATAGACCATACCATGCAAGATCAGACCAGACCCACAAATTTCAGTTCAAGTAAAAACATCTTTAGACAAGTCTAGCATTCACAACAAAAGAAACTTAAGGGGAGAGAGGAAACAATTGAATTATCCAACATAATCCAGTGTGGCAAGAAATGTCAATTCCCCTTGTAAATTTTTATTTTGAAATATCGATGATGATGCAAAAGTACATCACCATCATCAAAATTAGCTCTTTTCACACATAATGTACAAAAAATCGTACATGACATTCATAAAATCAAAGTGATAAAAATAATAAGCGTATTTGTTTTTACGTTTTACATACATACCTTGCAACAAGGAAAATGAGAGAAAAATGATTTTCAACAATACGTTAAAGCATTTGTCCCACACCGGAAAGTTATAAAACAATTAAACATCATATCAGGTTTATCTTTTAAGATGGAACCCCGAGTCAACAAATATACAACTGTTTGAATTGGAGTTTGGGAGTGAAGTTAACTCAAACGACCATAGGCACACCGCAAAGAACGAATTCAAAATTCCAAATTAATTAGTGTAATTATTAAATGGAAAAAGATTAGTTAAATACACAGGAAAAAGTGAGGTCAAGGAAGAGACAGTGGCATACAATAAAGAGGATGGAATGCTGGATGCGTGGATTTTAACGGAGATAACGGGTGGTCAAGGGTAAAACTCAATGGTACAATGATTATACCATATTGTACAATTGAATGTTGCTTTGTGTTACACCAACACATTTTATATACCAAAAACACCCTAACCTTCATTGGTGTTTATAAGATTTTATTAGATATTTGTTTTGGGGAATATATAGTTAATCATGCAATTAATTTACATTATGTATACTTTTATAACTTTTGTAGCCAAGAGAACGATGATTGGAAAGATTGGATTACATATACTCCGTATGAAATAGCTACCACTGTCATTTGCCCCTAAATTTATCTATAGAACAAAGTATGTAATCAAAATAAAGGGAATAGGAAACTCTTAAATACTACGTATTAAGTACGTGACACTAGACAAAATTCGATAAAAAGTTATCCACAATAACTCTTGACGATTTCCCCAAGTTGATATTACAGTAACATAATAAAATGGTATACTTTTAAATGAATATCCAACATTTTTATAACCAACTTCAAAATATCCATCTTCATGTTCATCATATATACTCCATAGTTACTATATGTAAACATGTTTAATTTGTCTTTTTATAGCTCATAATTACCGATTGCAAGAAATATATGTCTTGCCTTTTCATTTGTATAAGGCAGTCTTGGCCTCGCTAAGGAATGTAGTCCTCCTTTTAGCACAAGCAATTTGCTACATAAGGTTTGGATATACATTTGTCAAGGAAGGGCAAATGATGAAGTCACGTCCTAATGTTCAGAAGTTAAAGGCTCCTCTTGGTGCTGAATTTGACATGAATGATTTCAGTGCTATTCACATCAGGGTTACATTCGAAAGGTTTTGTCTAGATTTGACATGGCTACAACTAAGCCCATTGGTATAATTATCCAAACCTTCTTCTATCCATTCCCTATCACTTCAAGTCTACCACCATCGCTTATCTCCAGATTTTATAGCTGCAACACCTACAACCATCGACAATTCACTGTCTGATGGACAGCGTACCCCGGGAAGGGGCGGAGCTACTGGGGTCAGGGTGGTCAGCCGATCCCGCTGAAAATTTAAGAGTGTAGAGCTCTGAAATATCTTCGATTTGATATATTATGGCTCTCGTAACTCATTACGAGTAAAAAGTTATGACTTCTGTAAAATCATCACTATTTAAGTTTGAAATTAGTAAAATTGTGATGCGTAATATTAATTATATTCACAAAATAGTGTGTAATTCACTCGTTACTTACGTGACATGACTTAGGGACAGAGCAAAGACAACATATCTTACTGCTACGAGTGTCTACTCAATAAATGATTCTTTTCTAGTAAGAAATCTTGATACTACATCGAGTAAGATCGAAGAGAACCATAGAGTACTAAGGTAAGACACTGGGTCTCATCCGAATTACTCAACTCAACCCTTATAAAACAAGTTTATAATATATGTGACATATACGAAGTATATTAACTACATATACTCTATTAGTTTCATTTAAACTATCATTTATCTAAGATACATTCAATTCGGGTATTGTCTAAAAATAATCTACCGTTTTGATTCTATGTAAATTTGATTTCAACCCCGCTGAGTCCTTTTTCTGGCTCCGCCCCTGACCCGGGGTAGCTTATCCGAAGGGTTATTGCGGGAATAACCTAGAGAGAAGTCAGAGCAAGCAAGTAGGAGAGAGAGTCAAATATATTAAATGAACTCGAGATGTTAGGATCATTTATAAGGAGAAAGGGGCTGCAATTTATAGTAGCCATAAATGCGATATGGACACACGTGTCAATAATCTAACGGCCGAGGGTCACCTCATTCGGGGTGGCACCGGCATATGCATGTGCACCGCATTAAATGCGGTGGTTGGACATGACGCCGAATTGAATGTGGTAGGCGCCTGTCTGTAAAAGGAATCTTCGCTGAGCGTGCTGTTGCCGAATGCCCTGTGTAGACGAAGGCTACCCAAGTACCGAAGGCTACCCAGGTGCCGAGGGCGCCTAGGAGCCGAAGGCTCCTATTTTCTATGTTTTTCTCCCAGTAGCTTTGTATGCCCAAATCTGACTGCCCTGTGGATTTTGGGGACCTCGGTCATAAGACCGAAGGCACCTAGATGCGTATCGTGGGCTTATTCACGCTTGGGCCGTCATGTTAGGGCCTTTTGCGCACATTGGGCTTGATGGGTCTGTGTAGGAGAAGTAGGAGTCCGTGGGCCGGGGGTCCCCAGACCATATACTCCATCACTGTCCAAATCGAGATTTCAGTATCATAACTCCTCCACCATCACAGAACCAGATTTTCGTTCTCTGGATCAGGCATGTAGCCAGGGGGCAACCTAGGCCCCAGTCCACCCCAATTTTCAATTCTCATAAATATTCTTTATTCCTGCCCACCTCAATATACTGCCATGCCTTTGCCACTACTCTTGATAAAATGCGAGCTTTGACGATGACCTTTGGATCAATGACGACACCAAGTCATCCACGAACTCTACTTGGTAATAGACTAAATAGATATTAGGTTGATTCCTAAATATATATTAGGCAGATTCCTATGAACCTTATTATAGCCGCCGCCGCCTCGGGGTCGACTGCCGCCACATTTACGGTAGTCTCCGATCCTTTGAAGATGAGTGCGGCTAATATGGCGCAGATCACCTCCTTCGCGTCGCTGAACACGGTGCTTGCTTTCAGCGTGCCGTTGAGTTCGCCGCCTGCTGCTGCCTATGTCCGCGCAGCCCACCTTCTCTGCGTCGCTGATCACAGTGCTTGCTTCAAGCGCGCTGTTGAGTTCGCCGCTTGCTGCTGCAGACATATATTCTCTCATGGAGATCTTATTGTCAAATACTATGTATGTGCCTTCTAATCTTCCGCTCACGAATATATTTACTAAGAGTTTTTTTTAGTTTGCAATTTCATTTTTTAAAAGACAACATGCGCGTTGTATCTCCCGCACAGTTTGAGGGGGTGTAATAGACTAATATATTTAGGAATCTGCCTAATATATATTTAGGAATCTGCGTAATATCTATTTAGGAATACTTTGTATTTTGGCAACTCTTCTATTATAAATATATCTGTCAGGACTCCTATTGGAGTACCCTTTTCCCATTATTTCACACTTGGTTGAGGATCTTGAATGCACGAGCATTCCAGGAAGGCACATTGGTCGGTTGATTTTGGATCGACTGACGGAGGAGCCAAGTATTGAACTAGGGTGCATGACAAAGTGAAATGATATGGATCATATACTTCTTGCTGAAAAAGGAAACAAAACGTTCATTTTAGGACAACCGTAAAAGGAAAGTAAGACAACCAAACTAGGACGAATGGAGTATTTTTTATTGTTTAAGAATGTTTTCTTTTGGACTGAAATTTGCCGGTCTGGTCTGATCTGGTCTGGTCTGGTCTGTTTAAGTCTGGTCTGGTCTGGTAAACGTCTGGTCTCTGTGTATTTTATAACTATCCAAGTCTGGTCTGGTCTGGTTTATTTAAGTCTGGTCTGGTCTGGTCTATTTAAGTCTGGTCTGGTCTGGGACTGAAAACAGTCCAAAAGAAAACATCCTACGAGTTTATAGAAATAGTAAATACTACTCTCTCGAGCCTATAAATCTATTATCGTTTATCTTTACATACAAAAATTGAACAATATTTCACTTTCAGAGATTCTAAGAGCATCTCCAATGTTAAAATGTTAATGGTGCATACGTGGTATAAGAAATAACCAATAAATAAAAAAATTTCTCCTTATTTGAATGATCTTACATCATCTTGGTAAGTTTTTATTCACAATGTCAAGCACAATGTCTAGATGTAGACATTGTGGTTGACATTGCAGACAAAAACTTATCAAAACACACACGATCGTGAAAAGAAGGGGAGAGAAATGTCATAAAATCAATATTTTAGGTCTCTCTCCTACCACATGTCTCCCTTTTAACTACCTTTGTGCCGCTCACTTGTGAACACAAGTGCCAAGCGTTCTCTTGTAAGGGTTGGTTTGCAACTGCTTTTAAAAAAGCACTTCTCACAGTTATCAGCTTTTGGCTTTAAAAAAGCACTTATTTTCTCAAACACTAAAACTTTTATTTATCTCGGCTTCCGCGTCAAAAGTGCTTTTACTTTTTCTATTACACAAAAAGCACTTATTTTACCAAACATTATCCACTTTTACTTTTCAAAATCACTTTTTTTCTCAAACACTATCAACTTTTATTTAATCAATTCTCCCCATTTCATTAAAAAAGCACTTTTTTAAAAGCAGAAGCTGTGCAAACAGACCCTAAAGTTGTAGGCTTTGTCAAACTTTCTGCATATCTTCAACTAACTCCTCAGTCTTTTGTCTTCCTAAACCTTCAATCTTAAAAATGTCTAACATTCATCCACTCAGAATTCACTGCGTGTTGTCTTCTAATCAACGCTACATCTCTCAATCTTCTGCCCGTTTGCCTCCCCAAACTCGCTGCCTCAGATTCAGCGGTCGCCCTGTGCCCATATTACTCCGGCGGAATGTTGGCCTTCTGCCTCGAGCCGAAGACAAAGCCAGAGGCTCTTCAATTTCCACTCAAGAATCGTCTCAACCTCTGGTTCACCCCCTTTATTTAAGCGATTTTGAAATTTTAATGACTACTGTTATCTGATTCCTTGTACTCAGATTTTAATTGTTTGCTTTGCGAGAATTTAGCATTTTTGTATTAAAAGCTCAAAGCTTTGCTGTTTTTTATTGACTTTAGAGCATTTACCTCACTGAGGTATCTAGAACCTTTGGGTGTGTCAACATTTTGTTGAATGGCTGAATTTTCTGAATTTTAGTTTGACTAGGCTGGATTATGTAAAATGTATTAATGTTTTTAAAATAAATTCCATGAGGCTTTATGTAAAATATGAGGCTAGAAGGGTCGGATTTGTTCATTTTTGAAGAAAAAAGAGAAAGCTAATCATCCTATTTCAGCTGATGCAGCATTAAGGGCCTGTTAAGGTTTGTTAGGCTGCAAGGGCTGAGTCTGTTAAATTTTCTGGTAACAATGTAACATTCATTTTAACCAAATAAGCAAGTCAAAAGCTACTTATTATGTTTTAGATAAGGCTACTAAAGAGAGCCTAAGTTTGAATCAGAGTGATATTGAGCATGGGCTTGCCTTATACATTATGTTGTTATTTCGTGTGGAACATATACTTGCGATTTTTGGTAAATAAAATTTTGAATAACTATTACACTGACAGTATGGAGGTGATAGACTTATACTTTTTAGATTCAGGGCATATTCTACACATCTTATGTGCCTCAACTCAAATGAGTATACATATATCCAGGAATTTACACCTTCCTCCGAAGCATGCGATCCACTGTGTCCTGTTGATGAAACGAGCTTGCAAGATTCTGAACCCAGTTACTATTCAAAGACAGATTTACTTAAAGCTATTTCAGTTTTTGCCGCAGCAGCTACAGGAGCTGTGGCTATAAATCATTCTTGGGTTGCTGCAAATCAGGTTCCTTATTCTTGTGTCCTGAATCATTCATTTCTTATGGTTGTGTTTGGAACCCGAAAATGGTATTGAACGGAAATTAATGGTAAGTGATATAGTCTTTTTTCTTCATGTTTTTTACATAAGAAAAATATGAATGAAAGTCAAATTTGACTAAGACCTTTTTAATTTTTTTCATATATTAAGATTTATTTGTCTTCATGTATAACATATGCATAAAATGAGTTTGAACTTTGACCAAATAACTAAATTCTTTTATTGAGTTGATCCAATTTTTAATTCCCCACCCGCGCTTTTATTCCTTCCAAACCCCCCTTTATTTTACTGCAAATTTTCTTTCTTTTCTTATTTCAGGTTCCAAACAAATCCTACAATCAATTTCCCTTTCAAAATTTCTTGTTGGGTTGATCAGATATCCTACTTCAGGATATTGCAATGTCATTGTTATTTGCGATTGGATATGTTGGCATAATATTTGAAGAGTCTCTTGCCTTCAACAAGAGCGGGATAGGACTTCTTATGGCTGTTAGCTTGTGGGTTGTGCGGAGCATTGGGGTAAGCCTCCAATAGCAAGTGTAGACTATGAGACTGTTTGGGATGCTTATGGGAATATGGGTACAAGTTCCTGTATCATGAGCTCTTTTTTGGAACAAGCGCCACCAGTCTGTTGCTTTTTAAACCAGGCACTAAACATACTTTTAACCGTTAAAAGAACTTTTCCCATTTTTCCGCAAAATGCTTCGATTGAAGTAATATTACTTTTTGTTTCCCCTAAAAATCATGTATTATTTTTAAAAAAGTCATCTCATGTGCTCTCAATATCTACTCATTTTGTGCTCTCTGTTTAGTTCATACTTCACAACTTCATGATTTCAACAACATTTATAATCTTATATAAATGGAATGAAGTAAGTGAAAATAGCTCTCTTTTAGTGATTGAAATATTTTCCTCCGAACTGTAGGAAATTTATAAGAATAAGAGAAACTGAAACAAATGGAAAGATCGCAAAAAATTTAAAAGATCGCGTGAAGGAATATAAGAATTATAAGTCCATATATAGTAGGCGAGGAATTAAAACCGGTGTAGATACATATTTTTCCCATGTTAACATATAACAGAACTAAAAATGTACTTTTAAATGCCACTCTTGCAAATCATAAATGACAGTTTTCCACGCAAAATGAATATGGTAGAGTTCATTACCTTTTTACTATTTCATTTATTGCTTTTTCAGGCCCCTTCAACTGATGTAGCACTTTCAGAGCTCTCACATGCTACTAGTGAAGTTAGTGAAATACTGTTCTTTCTGCTTGGTGCCATGACAATTGTAGAGATAGTTGATGCTCACCAAGGTTTTAAGATGGTTACAGATAGCATTACTACTCGCCAGCCAAAATCTCTGCTTTGGGCGGTTGGTGATACTTTATGTTATATTTATTTATTTATTTATTTATTTTATTTATAATTTATCCTTTAAAGCCCTCTGCAACTTGCATGCTAATTAGACCTAACTTTCATATAGGTAGGTTTCCTGACCTTTTTTCTTAGTTCAATCCTTGACAACCTAACAACTACAATTGTGATGGTGTCCTTGTTAAGGAGGTTGACACCTCCATCAGAATATCGAAAGTGAGTGCAAGCACTACTGATCTTTGTCACTCAGTCCTTTGAAATGATTTCTATTTGTGCTCTTTATATCATTCTATTTTATAAAAGAATGAGTTTGAGCAGACATCTAAAATTGATTTTTTGGAGTTCGATGCATTTATTTTAACATTTCCTGAATTTCTTTTTGTTTCAAGTTTCCCTTCTATCTCCATTATATATCCTAGAAATTCCGGGGTCCCAAATGGAATCTTGATTAATGTGTTGCAAATTATGTTGGCAGACTTCTTGGTGCGGTTGTGGTGATTGCTGCAAATGCTGGAGGAGCATGGACTCCAATTGGTGATGTTACAACCACTATGCTTTGGATTCATGGTCAAATAACCACACTACCAACAATGAAGGTTTTGATGTCCATGGGAACATCATATTTGTTTTGGCTTAGCATTGAATGTTTTGGTGATAATTAAATTATTTACTTCATATTGATGAGGGTATTGTGCATTGTCAAAATTCTTCTGAAATATTCCATATCGTAGAGCTTGGGAAAAGTAGTTCTGATCATTGAAGTGATTACATATTTTTTTCAAAAATAAAGATCTACTGCACGTTGCGTCCAAATTGTTGTAACCGTTCGTAAGAAGTTTAATTCATTTTTACCTTTTGCAGGGGCTATTTTTGCCATCATCAATCTCTCTAGCTGTTCCATTAGCTTTAATGTCTCTGGGGAGGTAGTTTTCTTATTTACTATGCAAAAGGTCTTAAGAGGCTTTGAAAAACTCTCCCTGCCCCAACCCCAAAAAGAGAGTCCTGATTCAACACTTATTCCCCCCCCCCCCCCCCCCAAGAATCATATATTAGCGAGAAATAAGCATTTTTTATTGCATTTGATGTAATTTTCCAAAAAATGTTATTAACAATTTAAATATGTTAAATTTAGTTTCAGAGAAAAAATGTAGGATATGTATGTAGGATTGATAATTTACAAGGGTTGTACGGTATCATAATAAAAAAAAAACTGCACCTTGATGAGATGAGAAAGGACCTTTTTTGAACGGGGGAGGGACACAGAGGGTGTAGGAAACAGTTAGTATTGCTACGGATAAAATTTTATGCAGACTTGTTCTTATTCTATTCAGTGAAGTGAATGGGAAGGAACATAATCCTGCAGAAGATGTTTTGGCTGCTGAAAAGATGGCCCCACAGGGACAGCTTGTTTTATTTGTTGGAATAGGTGCTTTAGTTTTTGTACCAATATTCAAGGCCTTAACAGGGTTGCCCCCTTACATGGGTATGGTTCTTGGGCTTGGAGTGCTTTGGATCCTAACTGATGCTATTCACTATGGTGAATCTGAAAGACAGCATTTAAAAGTGCCACAAGCTTTGTCACGCATCGATACTCAAGGAATTCTTTTTTTCCTTGGAATCCTTCTGTCTGTGAGCAGGTAAACAATCAATAATTTAAAGTTGTATTCTATTCTCACCACGCTGTAATGATCTGTGATTTGCATTCTTGAGTTTGCAATTTCAGTTTTTTGTAATAAGACATGACTTGTTTTAGAATCTCATCTTATCATACCTTGTTTAGAAGGTTACCATATTGAGTTCATCTGGCGTTAAACATTACTACTATGATGATTTTGCATGGATTTGTAGTGTTAAATAATTGTAGACAATTAAATGATGTGAAATTTCATGCCATAAATTCCAACTAGTTGGGATTATGGTTATGGTGATGAATTGATGAGTCTACTCTCATTATTTGTTTCATTACTCACACGAGCATGCTGACAAATTGATCTACCTCTCTTAAGTCTTAACCCCTAATTCCACCATGTCCAACAGGGCAGATGAATTTTTTGTATTTGCTCTACTACTCATAAAAGTAGATTATCTCATGCCGAAAGCTAACTTCATTTATTTCTCAAGATAAGAACATATATCCATGCAGTTTCAATGCAGATATAATTAACTTCTGATAGTAAGGCGTTAATAATGGTGTTAAATGTTAATAAAAAAGAGTGTGCTGTTAATAGAGAGAAACAATATGAACCACATAATGTTTTCTTAAATGGAAATGAGGGAATGAGGGATAATTTTGGGAAAGACCAGAAAGAGAAGTGTGGATAATTTAGGGATTGAGGGAGTATCACATGTGCTAATAGGTAGAATGATGTAATTCAATGTTTATCATGTGTTTCATTTCATTCCTTCCTCTAGTGGGCTTCTCTTATCCCTAGTATCATATGTGATAATAGGTAGAGTTCTTTTTGTTGTGGGGGGGGCACCCACTGCTGATGTGCTCATTTAGATTCATAAGAGGGCCTGATGAGATATTACCTGTACTATTTATTGAATATTCAATTGTTACTTTCTAAAAGTTGTGTTGAATAGCCTTGAGGCAGCAGGTATTTTGAGAGAAGTGGCAAATTACCTTGACACCCATGTTCAAAATGTTGAGCTTATTGCAAGTGCGGTAGGGGTGGTATCTGCAATTATAGACAATGTTCCACTGGTTGCAGCCACAATGGGGATGTATGACCTCTCCTACTTTCCTAAAGATTCAGAGTTCTGGCAACTGGTAGCATATTGTGCTGGTACAGGTGGGTCCATGTTGATTATAGGCTCTGCAGCTGGAGTTGCTTTTATGGGGATGGAGAGAGTTGACTTCTTTTGGTATCTCAAGAAGGTTTTTTTGTGTTTCTTTTTGGCACAGCTGATTTATTTATAATCTGAGGGTATGTTTGGATCTTGGACAATGCTTTGGAGATAAAGAAAAAAATGCTGATGAAAGTTTCCTGGAAAAGTCAAAGAAAAATGAAATATTTGCTCAAGTGTTTTTGCATTTAATATATTTAGATATATCTTGTATATATGTAGTAGATACAATTGAAGGGGAGTCTTGGCATACAGGTAAAGCCGTAAAGGTGTTGCGATGTGACTGAGGAGTCATTTGTTCAAGTCTTGGGATTGGTCTATTGTGAAAATTTGACTAGAGAAGGCTTGGAAATTGGAACTACACACCCTAGTGGTGGTACAGTGGTACTCTTCCCCGGACCTCACCCTGTGGGGATGCACATGTGCATAGGCTTCCACCTTTTTATTTAGTAATCATAATTTAGTGAACTGAGTTTCAACAAATACCTAAAATAAATTTATTGAGTTTTAGCTTATCTTTATTTGTCCTTACACTTTCCTTCTGATTTTCATTTATGTTTTCCTTCCCTAGTGTATTTTGGGTACCAAACGAACCATAGTTCTGCTAAAAAAAATGTCTCTACAAGTTGAAACTTTTTAAAAATATTGTTGTACATTATGCAGGTCAGTGGATTTGCTTTTGCTGGTTATGCTGCTGGAATTGCTGCATATCTGGCTGTTCACAATCTGAACCTTTCTGAAGTTCCTTTCATTCCTGGTTCATGAATTGATTACAGAAGGATGTCAACCACTCAATTGTATAGGCAAAATCTCCACCTGATGGGAAGCAAATTTTCCATAGGAAAGCCTTTGCTTGAAGATAAAAGGGTCAAATGATGTTGATCAAATGATCACTAATACCCCTTTATTTAGTTGTACAAGATTCTACATAAGAAAATGTAATTTTGCCAACAGCAGACTTAACTATTCCAAGTATTTATTGTTCGTGATTTATGTACGTAAGTACGTTGATGTACAATATGTTGTGATGTAAGATACGGTCTTAATACAATAATTCTTAGGCGTTATAAACTTCTTTTTAAAAAATATGTGGGTGCATATACTGTGTTCAATATACACAGTTACACACATACACTGATACACATCCATGTATCATGTATTACCGAATTCAGTGCTCAAGCATACTTGGTTAATTTTTCTAATTAAGTAGGGCAATTTGGTACATGCAAGTACTTTAAGAGACTCAATTAACAAGCACAGCAATAACATAAAGTATTTGTCCCAAAAGAGATTGGAGTTGGATAACATAAATTGACATAAGAAGATGGAGTTAAAAGAGATCGTGATCTTCATATTTTTTTTTTTATGTTATTATGTAATAATGTGAATAAATGATAATCTTTTCGTCACATGTCTAACACAGCCTCTCCTTCTCTATCATGGTTTATGACAAACGTAATATAAAAATGGTCTCATAGTCTTTAAGAAGCTCAACTGGGTTAAAAAAATTAGAATCAAATTAGTTAGTAATATAAAGTGATATGGCTTGGTTATTGAATCAAACTATAGTTAACGATGGTGAGTTATTTCGACTTGGTTATCAATAAGATTTTTTTGTAATGAAAAGAGTGATGTGTTATCTCAATAGTAAAAAAAATGTGAGAACAAAAATTTATAAAATCAAAACATTAAATTGAAATGATAAATACAATTGACTATTAATCTCAAACTATGTGTATCAAATTTTTATCATATTCATCTTAAACTTTTGCGATTCAAAACAACCAATGCGATTTCTAAATATATCATTTGAAATGTTGATTATACATACCATTGTTTGGGGAGAAGTTAACTTTTCATCGGTCAACATTCAAAATTTGTGACAAAATTATCAATTTAGGATAGGAGTAGTATTAAATAAAAGGCAACACCGGACAATACCATTTGAAACAAAAAATGTTTAGTGTACACATTTTTTTGTACACCATTAGCACACTTTGTTTGTATACAAAGATAAAGTGTGTGAATGATGTAGAAAAAAAATATACACCAAACATTTTTTATTTTAAATACCTTGAACTAACGCTCCAATGTGGGGCACTTCTCTTGCACATTACACACAACTATTTTTTGGCATGTGCCGATACAAATTCCAACTTTGATGCCAACATGGACCAAAATAGGATGAACCTAATCATGGTTCCAGAACCACGTCAAATTGGAAAAGGAGATACTCTTATGAGATTTTTGGATATTGTTAGCATTTCTTAACTGAAATATTTTAAGAGAAAAAGTTTGTATTTAGTTGATAAAGTTGACTGATTGAATTAATTTTGTTTGGTATAACAACCTATTCTGTCTAATTAAGCTAAAAGCACGGACTTTGTATCAAATTTTACTCATTGTAGCTTTTAAAAAAATATCTTAGATTAAAAAAACTCATAAAAATTGTTATATGGAATAACTGGAGTAACAAATACAGTATACAACTAAAAGGTTTTAGAGTCTTTTCTGTTAAATATACCAAACATGCACATGGCTTCAATTCCAAAATAAACCAATCAAGTAAAGGAATCGAGCTAGACACCCATTATTCAGTTCCTCATAGTACCCATAATTGTTCCAAACCAATTACCATTCTTTCAGAGCATGACTTTTACTGAGGCATTCTGCTTCTACTTTTGCCTTCTTTTGAAAATAGTTAAAAACTGGAGGTAAATTGAGTCAATAATCACTTTACACAATTAAGATTCTGATTCTATCTTTACCCTAGACTAGTCTTAACTTAAAGTTGGCGTCTTGGATTAGTTGCCCTTTTTCATTTATTTATTGAGAAAATTGAAATTCATACAAATAAACACATTTCATACAGAAAACTTGAACAATGATCACGGCTCCGAATAGTGGTGCCGTATCGAGAGTAATTAATCTTAAGGGATTAAAAGTTCTTATTTCAAACGAGAATGAAGTAACTAAGGGAGTGTTTGCAACAGCTTCTGCTTTAAAAAAAGCACTTTTGGAGTGATTTGGAAAAAGTGATTAGTTGTAAAAGTTGATAGTGTTTGAGAAAAAAGTGATTTTGAAAAGTAAAAGTTGGTAGTGTTTGGTAAAATAAGTGCTTTTGGTGTATAAAAAGTGGAAAAGCACTTTTGACACGAAAGCCGAGAAAAATAAAAAATTGGTAGTGTTTGGTAAATAAGTGCTTTTTTGAGCCAAAAGCTGAGAAGTGCTTTTTTTAAAGTGGTTGCAAACCAGCCTTAACAAGGATGTCGTGTACAAATAAGTGTTTCAAAACCTTCAAGTACTAAATGAGCTCTAACAAGAATTATATGATTGTCATGAATGAACACATGAGTTTATTAATGGATTCATTTTTTGTATGGTTGTTATGAATGTGATGTTTTCACTTTGTTACACTGATATTGTAATTTCTTCCTGTTCATCATTCAGTAGATACTTTTTGTACTAAGTAATTCTCACTTAATACGGAGTATGTAACTAGGAATAATCATTAATCGTGGTGCTGCACACGAGTGGATTCCTAGTGACCGTAATTGGTTTTCACACTTCTTTATGCCTTTAGAGGTTTCACGTATTATCACCTAGACTCTTGTACTATTAAAAATATACTTTTACCCCCTCCTTATCCTTTAGTGAGAGTTTAAATAACTCCTAATCATGTTTAGCAAAGTTATAGATTTAATCCTGTAAATTTACTCACTTGCATATCTGATCTGGTAACAAATAAATTTAATCGCATTAAGAATCTTTCCACAAGAAAGTACACTTTGTGGTGAAAAATTTAGCTTATGCAGTCTATCTAAAACATTTAAAAATTTATCCGCATATCTAATCCTGTATTAACAATTTTAAAAATTGGAATGAACATTATTTATAATTACAGTTTAGTTAAACTTTTGGGATATTATTTATAATTACAGTTTATCCGCACATCTAATCCTGTATTAAATACTTACTTGAATGATTTCGACCTTGTCCTAAAGATCATTCACCAGCATCTGTTTTAGGTATAAAGAATATTTCAAAAATTTAGCTAAACTGTAATTCTAAATAATTTAGTTCATTCAAACTTTAAAAATATTTTTATTATATCTAAAATATATTAGTGGATACTTTTAAGAAAACGGCTGAAGCTAATAATCTTTTTTCACATGAAAAAAAATCTCTAACGTGAGATGTATGTTCCACCAATTCAATTTTTCTACAATCTTATGGATATTTTTGAACTTTTAAAATTAGTAGAGATTTTACCATCTTATTCTTAAGTTATTATTTCTTTACCATCTTGCTGAAACTGTATATACCTGTGGTTGATTTGTTCGAAAAGAGCCGAGCTAAATAAAATCCCTACTTTTCCTTGAACAACGCATTCCCTTTCCCAGTGGTATAACTTAGAGCAAGGGTAGGGGAAGTTGGCGGAATCCATAGCCAGTGGTCCGATAGTATTATACGTAGGGGTGTTCGTCGGTTCGGTTTGGTCGGTTTTCGGTTTGGTCGGTTCGGTTTGGTCGGTTTTTTTCCGGAAAAGCTGAAACCGTAAATCGAACCGCACTACTTGAGTCGGTTTCGGTTCGGTTTCGGTTCGGTTAATATCGGTCGGTTCGTGTCGGTTTCGGTTAGTTTTAGCATGTTTTTGTCGGTTTTTGTCGGTCGGTTTCGGTTCGGTCGGTTTTTTAACCCCAAAGGTGAAACCGTAAACCGAACCGCCAATGTTTAATCGGTTTGAGTCGGTTTCGGTTTGAGTCGGTTTCGGTTTTGGTCGGTTCGGTTTCGGTCGGTTTGTCGGTCGGTTTCGGTTTTTCGGTTTTTTTGTTCACCCCTAATTATACGTGCGGTGCTTGAGGCCTCTGTTAGTTTATTCGCGTATAATTCACGTATAATACACTCGAACGTATAATTCACGTATAATACTCCCGTTTATGAATTTTTCAAATTTTTTTGAAAAATTCACGTACTTCAAGGATAAAATGTATAATACACGTACCGTACGTATTGATACGTATTTTATTACGTATAATACTCCTGTTTATGAAATTTTCAGAAGATTCTGAAAAACTCACAGACTTAGGATAAAAAAAACACGTATTGTACGCATTGTTCTAAACCTCGCTAGGCGCTAGTCGGGCGGTTGGGGGGCGCCTAGCGCCTAGGCGGCCGACTAGGCCGATTTTTTGGCCGACTAGGCCGATTTTTGACCGACTAGGCCTCTACAGTTAGGTCCGCCTAGGCCGCCTAGACCGATTAATCGGTCCGACTAGGCCGATTTTTAGAACAGGGACTGTACGTATTGATACGTATTTTATTAAAAAAACACTACTAAACAGAACCCTAATGGAGTGATACAACTGAAACAAAATACATGTCAAGCTACTCAATATTATTTATATTGCTTAAAAAAACGTTATGTCTTATATGTTTGCTAATTGTTTAATGGTCATTACATGTAATGAATTAGCATCTTAAATTCGTAATCTATTTTGATATTTCTATTGTACTACTACTGTAATACTTTTGTTCTCCACCCATACCAAGACTCCAAAGAGATCAAAAAACTTGTGGCGGCTCACTAAACTCGTGGTCAAAGTAATATCAACTATTTTTTCTAGTAATATCTCTTCACTTCTACTTAAATAGGCAATGTCATTTTTATTACGTATTGTACCTATGCATTTAAATCCGTAAATCTAAAAAAACTATTCCGTTCATTTTAAATTGTTGAGGATTGTGGTGCAAATGTTAAATAACTCTTTTTTTCTATCATTAAACAAGCATGTAAGACACATACTTATTTAAAACTTGTGAAACGTTTAAAACTCGTCTGTATCTTTATATATTTCACGAACGTATGAACATATATTAAGCCGTATTTTATATAATTGTATCGTATTATACACGAACGTACGTATTATTGTATTATTCACGTACCGTATATAACCAACAAAGCTTGAGGCAGATGAGGCACTTGCCTCAGGGTCCAAAAAATTGTTAAAATTTTAGGGCCCACATTTTAGATATTTCTTTAGTATATATATGTATTAAATTTACATATTGGGCTTCCTTTTTGCCTGTTAGAGCACCGGTTAGAAAGAACCTGGAGATATCAAATCACACTCACACACACTATGTGCTGATATATGAGAAGGGAATCATATTCTACCCAGGAACTCTGCTTTTGAATTACAGGAGGATGCCTTTATATATAATAGGCATTGAAACATCATTTAATTGGAACATTAAAGATAGAACTTTCTGGGAACTCTTTTCGTGTATCTAGCAATTCTTTAGTTTCCCACATTTATTTGAATTAAAACTATTTCCCAACATTGTCTAACCTTTGTCCGTTGACTCCGCTATTGTACTTCAAAAAGGAAAACCCAAAAGTCCCCCAATTACTTTTGTTCGACCAGTTTAGAAGCGGAATAGCCATCAGCGTACAAATGGAAAAGGGTTTTAAGGCGATTTGCGATTCTTTTGTTCTAGCCTAGACTAATCGATCGACAACAGGGCCTTAGCTAAGGTTAATTTGCGATTCCCTTGTTCCAATCTATAGACTTAATCAATCAACATCAAGGTTAATCTTTCATCTTCTTTTCTTAGCTTCTAAATTTCTAATATTTTTCTATTTAAAGCCATAAAAGGATTTATAGCCTACCAAATATCTGTTTAGAAGGACTTTATTGAACATCTAGAATGTCGAGTTAATTAATACTTTTGCAGCTAAAACTCTCCGGCGAGTTGTACTTTATTAGTCATTTGAATACTTTGACATTAATGTAATTTTTATTTAATTAGTCGTTTTTATGATGTTTAATCTTCAATTTCAAAGAAAATTATAGTAAAAAAATAATGTATAGGGCCTTTTATTAAGTTCGACTCAGGACCGAGTTTTGGTAGGATCGGCACTGTGTAAATCTACGTGCAATAATAAATAAATAGAAGTAAAAGATAAATACTTGTATCAACCGAGCCCAACAAAAGTGTTGTCTTCTTAAGACGTTTTTGCCCGACATACGTAGCAAGCGTCTCCCAGGATAGAACGGTTTTTCGCTCCCAACGGGATTCCGGCGAACTCAAAGATGCAACGAAGGAATAGAGAATATGTAAGAACTGTTTTTGAAAATTCGGATTTTATTGAAAATGCAGGCAAGCATGAGTATATATAGAGCTCTGGCCAGGAGACTCTACACCCAAAAGACACCTTTTTAGAGAAAGGTTGTGACCCTCCTTCTAAAAACAAAGGATGTGTCTATTGCCAAACATTATCCAAATAATTGAGACGACAAATACAATTTATCTTTAAGCCATATACTCGGGCGGACGGTTTAAGACTCTAAACCGAAACCCGACCCGGCCGACTGGACGGCGGCGACGGTGTTTACGTGTGAGATATAATTTCACACTTATTTTTCGGGAAACAATTTCTCATTCATTTCAAAATGATTTACTACAAATAATATTAATAACAATAATATTAATTTGTAGAACCATTTTTCCTACAGTTGCTGTAGGCATGTAGCTATGAATTGATTTTTTTTTTTAAATTAGTACTATATCAAATATTTTTTTACAATAATAATCAAATATTTTTTTCTTCAAGGACGAGCAGGGCTCATGAAATATTTTTATTTAGTCCTGTAAAAAAAGTTATCTTTTCTATTTAAAGTAATAAAAATGTGGGTAAAGTTAAAAATTCACTATCATACAATTTTTAATTTAACATTCCAAATGCAAATCAACTTTCACAAAGTTTTGTGTGAAAGTTAGCACCTTAGTTGGACCATCTTGTTTATTTTGACCCGTTTACAAATCAACCCAAGTTAACCTTGGCCCAGTCTGATTACAAAAGCCCTAATCTGCCCTATATTTTTATTTCCCTTCCGGAGTAAGCTCAGCACACATTGAGCGCTTGTAGCTGCCGGCACCATCCCTGCCCTAAACACCATTATTTTGCAGGTCATCTCATATTTTGAAGTTAACTCAGTTCTTTATGAATTTCAGATTTATCAAATGCTTTAGATATATTTTGAAGTTAATTCAGTTCTTTTGTGTTCTGACATTCTCGTTTATGAAACTATAATAGAGGGAAAGAGACATGAAGTTCATCGCTGCATACTTGTTGGCTGTGCTCGGAGGCAAAACCAGCCCTTCCGCCGGTGACATCAAGAAAATCCTTTCTTCTGGTATGACAGTAATCTAAATTATAGATATTTCTGCATATGCCGCATCCGACGTTAATTTGTATCTGTTTCATGATGTGTGTATGTGAGGTTTTGTTAGTTGTTCAGTGTATATACGTATTTTTGGCTGCAAGGTCGTGTTAATTGAGAGTTTATGATTTCAAATTGATCTTTTGAAAGGACGCCATTATTATGTCTCTTTGACCAATTCACGTGATTAAATTTACTACCACTATATCGCATGTAAATTGGATCAAAGTAGAGGATTTTGTGATTAATAAATCAAGACAATTCTTGTGCGAAAGAGTGGACTCGAGTCCAGTACTTTGTCACTTAAGGCTTCTGTGAAGCACTGGAACCTGGATTTTGCTAGGAGAAGAAATCAGGTTGGACATTAAAGGCGAAATGTTATAGAAACCTAGGAATTATACATCTTATTAAATCTTCTGAAGCATTAGGAATGATTTGTTTTCCTTTGCATTATGTGAAAGCAAACACAAGAGTTCAACTTGCCTTGGCTTTTCTCCCCCTTTCATGAGCATTTTCTTACATCGATAGGTTTAACGAATACTTGTACCATTTGTTATTTACATGCTGGGTTTAATGAATAACTTATTTACTTATCTGTATCATATGGTTTCTGTCAATCATGGTTTCTAATGTGTACTAAATAAAGTCCATTGCATGTCCTTGTTCTTCTTTTGTTACTCACTGACTCGAGTAATTTTGAAAATATGCTGCACTTAGCTTTCCTTTCTCATGAAAAAAAGAGTATATATAGATGAAAACGCTGCAACTCTTAAAAGATTACCTTTGCTTCCAACCTGTTTGATGTATGGTCGATTGTTCTTCAACAATAACATCCAAGCCTTAATTCCATAAGCATTAGGGGCTGGCTAACATCCTAATCTTCATTTTTTTCATATGTGCAATACTCTAGTCCTGTATTCTTGTCATTACTTTTCTCATGTAACTCTGATTTCTTAGTTGGTGCCGAGGCCGATGATAGTAAGCTTGAGCTGCTCTTGTCTCAAGTTGAGGGGAAAGATATCACTGAGTTGATTGCAGCTGGAAGGGAGAAATTAGCTTCCGTACCAAGCGGTGGTGGTGGTGTGGCAGCTGTTGCTGCTGCACCTTCCAGTGGCGGTGGGGCTGCCCCAGCTGCTGAAGAGAAGAAAAAGGAAGAGAAGGTTGAAGATGAATCCGAAGAGGAGATGGGCTTTGATCTTTTTGGAGGAGATGATTAGATTTGTTTTACTTCTATATGTTTGTTTGGATAATACTATCAAGTTTTAGCACCCCTTCCTGTTTTTGACTCTATAATGAAGAATAGCTGAATCATGAACCTGACATCTCCATCTTCATTACCCTTTCAAGCCTACTTTTGAAAACAATTTTTATTAGAGTTTCAAACCATATTGTGTATTTGAGTTTCAGTGATTCTGCTGGCATTATTTACCGATTTATTCTCTTGCCATCAATAAGAGCGGTGTAGGACTTGTTGTGGCTTTTAGCTTGTGGGTTGTGCGGAGCATTGGGGAAAGCCTCCTATAGCATGTGTAGACTATGAGACTGTTTGGGATGCTTATGGGAACATGGATACAAGTCCCTGTATCATGAGCTCTTTTTTGGAATAAGCTCCACCAATCTGTTGCAGTGTTGCTTCTTAAATCAGGCACTAAACATACTCTTTAACCGTTAAAAGAACTTTTCCCATTTTCCCGCTAAATGCTTTTTTTTTTTTAAGAGAGATTTTTATTGAATGAGAATTGAGAAAGCAGTACAAAACGTGAAAGAAACCCGCAAAACGCTTCTTTTGAAGTAAAAGTACTTTTTGTTTCCCCTATAATTCTATAAAGCACGTAGGGAGTATTATTTTTCAAAAGTCATCTCATGTGCTCTCAATATCTACTCATTTTGTGCTCAGTATAGTTCATACTTCATAACTTCATAATTTCCACAAAATTTCTAATCTTACATAAATGGAATGGAATAAGTATAAAAAAAATTCTCTTATGGTGATTGATATGTTTTCCTCCAAATTGTAGGAAAATTAAAAGAGTAAGAGAAACTGAATCGTTGGAAAGATCGCATAAAATTTAAAAGACCGCGTGAAGGAATATAAGAATTATAAGTACACTACATATATAGTAGGCGATGAATTAAACCGGTGTAGAAACATATATTTCCCATGTGAACATAAAACAGAACTAAAATTGTGCTTTTAAATGCCACTCTTGCAAACATAAATGAAATTTTCCACGTAAAATGAATATGGTAGAGCTCATTACCTTTTTACTATTTCATTTATCGCTTTCTCATACCCCTTCAATTGATGTAGCACTTTCAGAGAAATTAGTTAAAATATTGTTCTTTCTGCTTGGTGAAATAACAATTGTCGAGATAGTTGATGCTCACCAGGGTTTTAAGTTGGTTACAGATAACATTACTACTTGCCACCAAAATCTCTGCTTTGGGCGGTTGGTGATAATGATACTTAATGTTATATTTATTTATTTATTTACTTAATTATTTATTATTTATCCTTTAAAACCCTTTGCAACTTGCATGCTAATTAGACCTAACTTTCTTATAGGTAGGTTTCGTGACCTTTTTTCTTAGTTCAATCCTTGACATTGATAATCTAACGACTATTTAAGGAGGTTGACACCTCCATCAGAATATCAAAAGTGAGTGCAAGCAGTACTGATCTTTGTCACTCAATCCTTTAAAATGATTTCTATTTAAGCAGATGCTAACTCCAATTGGTGATGTTACAACCACCATGCTTTGGATTCATGGTCAAATAACCGCACTACCAACAATGAAGGTTTTGATGTTCATGGGAACATCATATTTGTTTTGGCTTAGCATTGAATGTTTTGGTGATAATTAAATTATTATCTTCATATTGATGAGGGTATTATGAATTGTCAAATTTCTTCGGAATTATTCCATATCGTAGAGCTTGGTAAAACTAGTTCTGATCATTGAAGTGATTACATATGTTTTGCGAAAATAAAGATCTACTTCACGTTGCGTCCAAATTGTTTTAGCCGTTTGTAAGAAGTTTAATTCTTTTTTACCTTTTGCAGGGGCTATTTTTGCCATCATCAATCTCTATAGTTGTTCCATTAGCTTTAGAGGCCGTTTGGCAACACTGTTTTCGGCTTTTCAGGCTTATCAGCCAACTTTTTCACCAAACACGTAATTTTTGCTTTCGCGCGCTAAATTGTATAATAAGCAGAAAAAGTATGGTTGGAGTTACTTTTCTGGCTGTATTAGCTGAAGTTATTGTAGATTACGAGTACCATTTTAGCTATTTTTACATATAATTTTTTCTTTATTATATTAATAAAATATATTTTAAAAATATATTTTCTTAAATAAGCAGAATCAGCCAATGCAATCACTTCAGCCAGAACTCCATAAATTTCAGCAGAATCAGCCAAATCACCCGATTTGAAAAACTCTCCCTGCCCCAATCCCAAAAAGAGAGTCCTGATTCAACACTTATTTGTCTCCCCCAAGAATCAAACATCAACAAAAAATAAGCAAATTTTATTGCATTTGATGTAATTTTCCAAAAAAAATTGTTCTTAACAATTTAATTGTGTTAAATTTAGTTTCAGAGAAAAAAATGTAAGATATGTACTATGTAGGATTGATAATTTACAAGGGTTGTATGCATGGGCGGAGCTAGGGGTGGGCCAACCTATGCCATGGCCCACTCCAAATTTTAAAAGTGGCTTAATTTTTAAGGTAAAAAATTTCGTGTAAAATTTTTTAAAAAAATATTCTTTGTACCGACCTAGCCCGACCCAGTGCTCTAGCTCCACCCCTGGTTGTATGGTATCATAATTAAAAAGTCGTACCGTGATTTGAGGGGGGGGGGGACACACAGAGGGATTAAACAGTTAGTATTGTTTCGGATAAAATTTTATGCAGACTTGTTCTTATTCTATTCAGTGAGGTGATGCCGGACTTGCTGCATATCTGGCTGTTCACAATCTGAGCCTTTCTGAAGTTCCTTTCATTTCGTTCATGAATTGATTACAGAAGGATGTCAACCACTCAATTCACCATTATCATCATTATATCCCAATGCCGCAAAGGCTCCCATCTACGATGGGGTAAGGGAGGTCGGTTTTACGCAATCTTACCCCTATACTAAAACACAGAGAGACTGTTTCCAGGTGTCAACCGTTCAAATGTATAGGCAAAATCTCCAGACGGGAAGCAAATTTTCCATGGGAAAGCCTTTGCTGGAAGATAAAAGGAGCAGGTGATGTTGATCAAACGATCACCATACCCCTTTATTTAGTTGTACAAGAATCTACATGAGAAAATGTATTTTTTCCCACAGGACCGTTCCGGGGCTAGGACCGGCCCAGGGGGATTTTTGGGGGCGGTTCCAGGCTGCCCCTCCTTTGGTACCGACCGGGCCAGTCCGGGCCTAATTTTTTTTTTTTGGGTTTTTTCGACTGGTTTGGGTAGGAGGCGGGTTGGTAGGGTGGTTTGGGGGTGGGGGTAGGGGGATAGAAATAATAAGCAATAAATAAATGGTACCCGACCTGGAACCGGGACCAGAACATAGCCAGTCCGGTTCCTGGCCTCCATTTCCCAGACCTGGGCCCACTCTAAGCCCAACCCAGACACTATCGAGATAGTATAAAAGTATGAAAGAGAAGATAAAAAATAGATAAAGTAAAGGTAGTTGGGTATTTTATAAAAGGTAAACTTACCAAAAATGAATGAAGTCTTTGACTAGTGGCCCTTTTCCATTTATTTATTGAGAAAATTGAAATTCATACAAATAAAACACATTTCATACAGAAAACTTGAACAATGATCACAGCTAATAGTGCTCGAACTTTGTTCATACTCTAAAAATTGCAAAAGCAAAACATTTCTTTTCCCGGCAAATAAGAACTACAAAAAAGTCACATATAGAAATTTGAGAGGTATTTAGAATTGCTTTATAACTTAAGGAAAACGAACTCCTCAACAGCAGAGATCTCGCCAATCCTCTTCAACGATTCCTTGCTAGGCTGTTCATCCACTCCAATCGCCATCACAGCATGCTTCCTTGGAGCAATCCTCCCAACACTCATGAAACTCACGTTTACATTCTCCTGCCCTAAAATGCTGCCCACCTTCCCAATCATACCCGGCTGATCAACCTGTCTGCAAAGAATGATGCTCCCTTCCAAACTCACATCAACCTCAAAGGAACCAGCCTTGGTCAAATGTGGGACTCCGTCTTTGACACGGCCCTCCACTTTGATCTCTCCTGACTCCGAAATGGCACTAGCAAACTTTGACTCCACGTTTGCAATCTGAACCTGAATGAACTCGAGCGGACTTTCAGGGGAACCATCTAGAACTACCCGTTCTTCAGATATACGGATGCCTCTCTGCTTGGCAGTGAAATCCGCGTTGACTAAGTTGACAAAGACGCTGGAGATGGGTTCGATAAGACCCTTTGTTATCATGGCACGAAGAACCCTTGTGTCTAGGTCATCTGGGGCTCGTGCGGATCCATATGTCACTTTCACGGACTTCACACCGCTTCCACCTGTTACTAATTGGACAGCAAGTCTGCCAAGTTTTTCAGCTAGAATAACAAACGGCTTCAACTCTGCCAATACCTGCATTCAAACAGTTGTTGTGTTGAGATTAACATCAAGTGTATGTTTGCATTGACAGCTTGGAGGGCGGGCTTTGGAAGGTTATACAATGTTCTTGGAATGAGTAAACAAACATTGAAATAGAGAGTTATCCTAAAATATTACTAAAAGTAGAATATAACTTATGGGGAAAAAATATGACTACATGCACATTACAGTCGCAATCAAAACACCACCATAGTCTTATAAAGTAAAACTAAACATCACCATGGTCACTGTGAAAGTACCATTGTGGAAACTGCGTATTAGAAATTATATTTCTGCCCAGCATTTATTTTAGTCATATACTAGTCATTATTTCACAAAATATAGCATTACCACACAATATGAGTCTTCAGTCTTTATAAATCTCAAGTATATATCAAGATATACACTTAGGTCAAACCCATTCCCTATAAAACACAAAACCCAGACTGACCCAAAAGGTCAAATCCATCCCCTTTTCTTGCAAAGCTAATGGTGAATGATTATAGATCTAATGACAGTACCATCATCAATTATGCTATTCTCTTGTCCCTTGTGCGAAGTTCAGTGTTGTCAATCCCAGATAGCGGAGCGGAGCGGCCAGCCCCCAAAACGCTATAGCGGTATAGCGGATAGCGGGATGACCGCTATTTAGGCTACTTTCAAATATAATAGATAAGTAACTACTAGAAGCATATATAATACATTGCATACAAATATTGAATTCAAACATCTTAACATTCATAAATCCTAAGTTACTTAGAAATACTCTTTAGTTTCATGAGCAAAACATAAGATGCTATAAATGATTAAAACATTTTAAGTCAAAACATTGAATTAAAAACAAGGTTCTAGTTTAAAAGTTTAAGCCTTGATATATTAACAGTCAAAAAAATAGATCCGACTTGCAAGCCCTTTGAATTCTTCATTCACCACCCCTCCTCATTAAATTCTTCTTGTTCTTCCAACTCTATCTCATCGTTTGCATCATTCAAGCTGTTCCACTTCCAAGCTGGATCAAGGTGTTCTCCTATGGGCTTAAACATGATAGTAGACTGACTAGACACC